CCAGCTGTGGGATCTGCGACGCCCTGGTTGAAGGGTACAAGCACCTTCCAATAGAGCATGTGGAACAACTGATGCATGTTGATCCAAATGTGGATCAAAGAAATGTTGGTATTGTAGAGCCAAATCATCTACATCAAGCAGTCTGTTGGGCTGTACAGGAGGCCGAGCAATTGCATGGCCTGTAGCTCTGATTCCGCTGAGGAAACTTGTGTGCGTGATGCAAAGTGAGCCGAGGTAGTGTGTTGCAAAGCCTGTTGTGCTCTTGCGCGTTGCGTGGCATGAGCCCGTTAGCGTCAGTGTAGATGTCGATGTCGACCGGGACTCGCTTGTCTCCATACTCCGTGACGGGTTGTATCCTATGCTTGTAGTGCTGTGTGCCTTTGAGGTATCTGAGAAAGCGTTCGCCTTTCTAGCTGTCGAGTTGCGTTGGTGCCTGCAAGGAACGTGCAAGTTCTTTTGCTGCAAAGCAAATGTCTGGTCTGGTGTATGCTAGCCGTTGTATCTTGCCGACTGTCCTTCTGTATGCTTTGTGTTCCTCTGTCTTCAGAGGTTGCGCTGTGTTGGTGTCTGTCTTAAGTGCTGGTGAGCATGGTGTTGGTGCGTTGCAGTTGCTCATGTTGGCCTCAGCCAGGATGTCGTTGACGTACTTGTCCTGCAGGCTGATGTCCACGCTGTTTCCGATGTGTGTGACTTTCCTTCTGAGAAAGGAAACCGTTGTATCTGTTGTAGTTCACCCAAGTGTACATGTCTTTCTGATTGCAGCAGCCTGTGCAGTTCAAACCTTTTGACCTCCAGGTCTGATCTTTGGATCCTTTGTTTCACTTATTCATCCTTATGCAGCAATGAACCGTGTGCATGATGCAAGATCAATGCATGAGCATGCCTCAACTGGAGCTGGCCGCAGAAGGCAACCGAACAGAGCCTTTGTGCGGCAGGAAGCTCAGCCAAAGCAGGACAATGAGGCGCGAGATAAAGGTTTGGGCGAGTAGTAAGGAAAGAAGGCTTATAGTCCCCTAATTATTTTGGTTTTTTGGTCCCAAAACCCTGCAAAACAGCCAAATTCTCCATCCAGCTGAACGTTTTTCCGATGTCACCGGTCTTCGTCACCGCTCCGTTTTTGGTGCAAAAAAGCGCTCAAAACGGCCAACTCCGAAAAGTTCGCTTTTCGTGTCAGACGGCAAGTGTGGCTCCAGATTCGCTCGTTTTCGGTCGAAAACAGGCTCCAGACGCTCGCTGTGCTCTGGATTCCGTTTTCAGCCCGGAAAAGCAGGCAAATTCCATCCCGCCGAGCTTGTCACCGTTCGTCACCGCTTCGTCACCGCTCACTTTTGGGCCGAAAAAGTGCGCAAAAGCGGCCCAGTTCCCGAGTTCCGGAGGACTTCGTTCTTCGCAGGGTTTTCCGCGGCAGCCTGCCGAGGTCCAGGCTTGTGACACGACAGCCTGCCGAACTTGTCACCGCCTTTGTCACCGCTCCGTTTTTGGTGCAAAAAGTGCTCAAAACGGCCAACTCCGAAAAGTTTGTTTTTTCGTGTCAGACGGCAAGTGGGATGCCTGAGCCTCTAGTTTCGCTCGTTTCGGTCGAAAGCAGGCTCCATTCCGTTTTCAGCCCGGAAAAGCAGGCAAATTCCATCCCGCCGAGCTTGTCACCGTTTGTCACCGCTTCGTCACCGCTCTCTTTTGGGCCGAAAAGTGCGCAAAAGCGGCCAAGTTCCCAAGTTCCAGAGGACTTCGTTCTTCGCAAGTTTGAGTCATTATTGGAACGGGTTGATTCATTAATGGGCAACGTTGGTTCATTAATGCCGGTCGCAGGTGAATCAAGCCCCGGACCAGGGGTGGCGCTCACGACCATCATCATCGTCATCATCACCATCATCTTTATCGTCATCATCATCCTCCTCATCGCCATCAGCATCACCATCCTCATCATCATCATCACCGTCATCTCCTTCAGCATCATCATCATCAGCACCAGCCTCATCATGATCATCACCATCATCTTCCTCACCATCATCATCATCATCATGATCATCATGATCATCATCATCATCATCATCATCGTCATAACCATCACCAGCATCACTGTCATCATCATCACCATCCTCATCAACATCATCACCATCATCATCATCACCATCACCATCCTCATCGTCATCATCATCATCACCATCCTCATCATCATCATTACCATCATCTTCCTCACCATCATCATCATCATCGCCATCATCATCTTCCTTACCAGGCGCGGTGTGGTGCTGGACGCAAGCCAGTCTGAAGCCAGTCTGATGCTTCCACAAGCCAGTCTGATGCTTCACAAGCTCATTTGATGCCTTGCAAGCATAACAAGTCAATCCGATGCCTGTCACAAGTCTGTTTGAGTAGCAGCCCAGGATGCAGGACAGGGGATGGGCACGCGTTGTTGTCCCTCCTGCATCCTCGAGCCTGGACTTCTGAGCAACGCCATATAAAAAAAGGAGCAGGGCGATTTGGTCGACTCGAGTTGTGAGTTCCTCCACCATTTTTTTATCACTGGTCCCCTCTTGACTTGAAGCAGTGAACAGGATTCTAACTCTGCAGTACAAGAAGGGCGACCGATTCCAGCCATCTTGGGATTCTCAGGAGTCGTGTCTGGGGATCCTTCTCCCCCGAGCAGGGCAAGCTTTCAAGTACATACTAAAATATATTGGCTGCTGATGGTTCCTTGCTCTAATAAGTTGTGCAGCGTTCTTTTTAAGGGCCAAGAGCCGTTCAGCTTGCGTTGCTCGCCTTCGTCCAAGTGCTTTTGGCTGGCTTTGACGCACTGTGTTTTGTTTTGCCTTAAAGTGTTCTGAGGCAGCTGAAGCATGGTTTTGGCTTGCGCATGTTGGTTGAAAAGATCTTGCAAAGGTTGGAAGGGGCTGGGTGATCAAAGAGTGTGTTATTTTAAATTAGCAAATGTTCATTCTTTAAGAAAACATATATTTTGAAGAAACATACACTGTTCTCCACGTCTCTTGATGAGTGTCTTTTTCATTTACTCGTGCTTTCTGCTGGCTGCCATTTTCTTAAATGCGTTCTTAGTGTCCAGTAAGAAAAGAGCCCTAGCTTTATCTTGCCAGGGCAAACGTACCTGGCATTTTGTAATTTTGGAAAGGCACCTTGGCAGTTGGTGTGGCACGTGTTGCCTTGTAACCTTGAATTTGACGCATGGTCAGTGCCTACAATTTGCTGTTTTTTTTCCCAGTTGCTGTTTGAATTGTTGAACAATGCGTCAAACTGGAAAATTATTCAAATTGCTTGAACTTGGTCATTCAGACCACGCTAAGCACAGACAGCTGGCGTTGCGCTGATGTGCTAAGTAACTTTGCTTCTTTAGAACCCGTTTTCCCCCATTGTTTTTTGATGCCGTAAAGTGCCAGCATGAGCGCAGCCAGATTTAAGCAAGCACCGCGCGACAGCAGCAGAACTTTAACTGCCAAGTGTGGCCTTGCTCCTTTCAAGCTTTCTAACACAGAAGTCTTTGTGTACGGCATGGAGCGTGATGGAGCAATTCCGTGTGCGCAGAGGGGCTAGACCGCAGTAGCCAACCAATTTTTTTTGAATGCAGCTGGCATCGCAAAGAAGAGTGCAGGTGAGCAGAGCAAAGTTCCAAGCAAGCAGAATGTTTCAATATTTTTGCGGGTTGCCCATTGCAGGCGCAAGGTGGGGCTTCTTTGGAAGTTGCACTTTTAAGCCGGTTTGTGCGCCAGAGCTTGAAGGCCCACCCATGGTTTTCCGGACTTCCCTTGTTTTCATGCTGATCTTGCTTGCGTACGCGTGCAACGAAAACATACTAAGAGCGTGCTGCCTGCCAGGCGGGCGATTTTTTTTTTTTTTTTTCCGTTTATGGTGTACTTTGGTGCCTGGACCTTTTCGAGTTGCGGACATTGGACATTTCGGTAGGCGTTTCACTTCACATTAAGCCTCCTTTTTTCCGGGCATCAAGCGCAGATTCCGCCTAGACTTGTGGAAACAGCGCAGGTCACCTTTTCGCAGCAACATGTGTTACCTTTACCAACAACCTTCCGGTCTGGACCCCTCTTTTTGCTTAGCGCGCTTGGTTGCTGACCCTTTTTGTTGGCTCTATGTTTTGCATCTGGGTGTTAATGCCGCTACTGGGGTAGTGTTTCTTTTCTCCGTTTTTTGTCAGTGTAGTGCATTGCCGACACAGGCCGCGAGGTGCTCGATGAGCATGTTTTCGCACGTGCCCGTGGCAGTGTCACAAGTCTCACCGCAAAGGTGCGTCATGATGTCGCTCGTGTCTAGGTATCGGCGAATCAACCTCATATGTCTTGAGAAGTACTAGGCTCCTTTTTTGTTTTGCTCTCTCTCTCTCTCTCACACTGGTTTTTGGGACACAGCAAGTGCAAAACTAAGGTTGGCATCTCCTTTTGTCGGCTGCATGCGCGCGGGTTCGGCTCGGCAGATCTGTCTGGGCCTTTGCGGCTGGGAAAGCCGCGAGTGGACTGGTCGTTGGGTTGGACTGGGCGAGACTGTGGGGGGAATGGTTGGACGAGGCTGCAGGTCTGTGGAGACTGGGGCTGTTCCGAGACCATAGGTGCGGCTGGCGTCAACTCGTGCCCTGCGCTCGTCTTGCGGTCAGCCCAAAAAACGCAGAGGAATCGAATGGTGTGGTCTCGTGGAAATCAGAGACTCGCAGGCCGGCGAGCCCGTCTGAGGCAAAAGGCGAGTTGGAGAGTAGTCTGAGGACTTGGGGCTTCTCCCAGATTTTTCGCATGCTTGCCAACCAAGATGGGTTCCTCCAGGAACCATGCCAATTTCTTGCCCGTGTTTTTTGGATGCAGAGTCGTGCAGCAGCAAGCTGTTGACGTCGCCATGTGCTTCTTAGTCTTGCGGTCGTCTTTGGCCTACTCGAACTGTTTGGTTGCAACCTTCTTCAACCATTCTTTTTCCCTGGACCGGCCTCAAATATAAAAACATGCAGCCTGAATTGAACAAGATTCTTGCCACAAATTGTAGCCCAAGGCCCACAGATCCACCAATTCTTGGGGCCGAGCTCCGAAGAAACCTCCGCCGCCTTCCCAGAGCTATGGCGAACGTAGCTCTTAGGGACGACAAGGAGGAGAGCCGCCAGAGCGCCTCGGAAACTCAGCGGATTAGGAAACTTTTACGGGTGGAAGTACATACCGCTTGTTCATACCGGTTCCTTGGCTTCCGTGGTTTTCCAACCCACTTTATAAGGGGTATATACACCCCTTTTTGGGGAGAGTGGTAGGAAAATCAGCAGGCCTTTTGGATTCATTTGTCCAAGGGGTATGTAAAAGGGGTATGTACAAGCACCCCTGGAAAACTGGCAGATGGTGTCCTACTTTTCAGCCATGGTTTCTTCCAGCATCTCCATCAGATGGTTTGGGGTTGCATTAGGCTTCTCCATCGGGAAGAAGTGCATGATCAATAGCCAGGTGTGATGAATTTAGAGGCAACCTCAAAGGACTCGTCACCGCTGGATACCTCAAGGAGCGCTTCCATGAACCGCAAAAGGCACGGCACATGGGTGCAACTTTGGGACAGGAGGGTCGATATCGTTCAAACTTTCTGAAGAACAAAGGAATCCAGAAAGCTGGGAGGCGTTGCTGTAGAAGGCTCAAATGAGTATCAGGGGTTAGGTGAAGCTACTGTCCTGCATGGACCTTTCCTGGGCACACGGAGAGACTCATGTTTTGAAAAAACCAAGTGGGTAAATGACCTGTTGTCCTGGCCCGAAGTGGCACCCACGCGGCTGTGTTCAAGCGGCTCAGTATTAGATTTACTATGGGTGTGGCTCTGTCTTTGGTGCCATTTGCCAAGGTCGATTTTGGGACCGTTTTTTGAGCCACAGCCTTGCTCTGAGTTCTCCTAGCTGAAGCATCATTCGGATCCTGTCAGCTTCTTGGACTCATTTGCAGTGACGCGAATGACGCACGGGCTGAAGACTTTCTTGGTGGGAGTCAGATTGGGCGTCCTTTCCCCTGGCAGTGCCACGCCCAGAGGTGGCCTGCGGGCACGGCACTCACCAGCGTCCTGGGAGTGACTTTCAAGAGAAGCCAAGGAAGTAGTGGTGGATAACAGATGAGCCGGTGGTTGCGCATCGTCCTTTTAAACGCATCGCCAACGACCACCCGGCCCCCTTGGCCCATGAGGGTTTCAACTGGATGCCTAAAGAGACGCCTGCCTCCTTGCTTCGTTTGCGCAACAATTTCCCCCCCCAACCAGTTGCATCCGTTTCCAGGCGCTTGGGCGCCCTTTCCAGTTGCATCAGTTTCCAGGAATGGTTAAACTTGCTTTGACTCCGCTTTCTGTATGGTTGAGCTAGCCTGCCTCCCCATGACTCCTAGTCTTTGCTTCGTTTGCGCAACAAACTCTGCAGCTCGGAGCTCCGAGGTACCGACTCTGATGGCTCCGAGCCGTTTCTGCGGCCGGGGGGCGCCTTCGCCGCCACCATCTGCCTCTCGAAGGCGGCCATCGGCGCAGGGGTGCTGTCCATTGCCGCGCACTGCGGTGAGGCGCATGGGTCGCATTGGATGGGTCCGAGTGCACGAGTCCAGGGGCCGACGGCTGGATGATTCACCGCTTTTCGGAGAAACCCGATGGACGGAATTTGGGATCCTCAGTGTAAATAGGAACAGATTGTGGTAGTGGTTTTCTGCACATGGGTTATAAGGCGGTGCGTTTTTATTTTCCCACGCAGGTGCTCTCGTGCATCGTGCTCTGCATGTCCTCTTGTGTAGCTTGCTGCGCGATACTGTGGGCCCCATATTAGTCAACCCCAGTGTATTCATAGAAAAGTCCGGGGGTTCCTGGGTTTAGTGGGGAATCAGACCAGTTTTGGAGGAACCCCCACCCCCCTATATACAAACAGGTTGATTAATATGCGGTCAACATTCAGTTATTAAGGCTGATGAGATTTCCGACAGAAGGAAGAGGCCAGCAGTCTAGCCCCCAGGCAGGGTCCGAGATGGAGGCCCGAAGTTAAGGCCCCTTTGGCCTTCCAGCCGTGCTAGAAGGCTTCCTGTTTGGGTGCATGTTCACAAACCCAATGGGAAAGCACAAGTTTGAATCGAAGGCGCCTCGCGTTTCGGCATGCAGCGCCCAACGAACACTTTGAAAAAGCGCACGTGGTTCCTGAAATGCGCCCATTCACCAATAAGATAAGCATTGCAAGCCGGTACCCTGTTTGTTGGTATTTCTCACCTCGAACACTCCTCAAAGTGCCCTGTACATTTTGCAGATGTGGTATTTCTTAGCTCCTACTCGGAAATTCTCGCTCGGTCCCCCCCCCCCCCCCCGTTTTTTGGTTCCAGAGAGACCAACATCACAGGCCCGCAACTGGCGGTTTGGATTTTGGAACTTGTGGCGCCCAGAAAATCGGTGCTTCGCAGTGGTTTGGATTGGAGCCCCTGGTTCTTGTAGGGGAAACAAGTAGGAAGCTGAGCTCACCGATTCGGCAACCATTCGAGAGCTGAGTTAAGAGTCGAGGCCAAAGTAGCAGGTTTTCACCAGACCTGCTTTCATCCCTTGCAAACCGTTTGGTTTGAACGGCCTTCTTTCGTCCTTTACTTCCGTTGGGTTGGAGCCCCACCCGTCCTTCATTCCTTCCCCTGTTTTTTGTTGAACCCCCCGCCAATCCGTTCCCCAGCCAATCCGTTGCGCTCCGCTTTTCCCTGGCTCCCGCGCCAGGTGGGCGCGGGGTTCCAGGCCATGAGCCTCGTAACGGGCGCCTGGCTCACCGTGTGGAGCCACTCGACTCGACTCGACTCGTCTCGACTCGAGTCGAGTGTAAAAAAGAGCCGGGTGTGTTTTACCCCGAAGATGGGGGCTGTGCTGGTGTTCGCTTTTTGTCAGCTTGCGTGGTGGATTCTCCCACCCCCCCCCCCCTCCAAAAAAAAGAAAAAGAGAAAAGAAGTAACCACAAATAAAACATTAAGACAAAAGAGCCAACCTTCCATTTTGTTTGTTCCTGACTCATCACTTGACTGACCCAATTTTGTTTTCTTAGGTCAGCGTTGGCAGGCGCAGCACTGGCATTTCTGGCGCTCAGTTTTTGAAGCTGCTGCTTTCAGCCTTCCTCAGCAAGGTTGGGGAAGCCCAGAACCTGGTTCTTGCGACCCCTGCGGTGGTTTTGCCCTCCAGAGCCTCGCTTTGGCTCTGGGGCGCTTCGAATCGCAAGTCCGAGGCATTGATATGATCGCGCGGGTCTGCATCGAGACCGGGCGCTGGAGCTTTGAGGATCTCTGCGAGCTGGTGCACCCCGCCTTCGCGGCGCTCACGGGCTTCATCAACGCCAGCATGTGCGTCGGATGCGCGGCGGCGTATCTCATGGTGGCGGGGCAAGTTTATCAGGCAGGGGGTGTCTTGGTGTGTGTGTGTGTGTGTGTGTGTGTGGGGTTTTGGGGTGGCCGCGGTTGTGGCTAGAAATTCGGAACAAACAAATACGTGGTGCGTGAATGGGTGTGTGTGTGTGTGTGGGTTCTGGGGTGGCCGCGGTGGTTTGGCGACAAGTTCGGGAAAAGGCGTGGATTCCGTGAATTGGACAACAAGGGTTGGCCCTTGATGAACGCCAGGTTATGAATACGGGGAATCATCAGCTTTGGAGGGGATGGGGTCAATCAACATAAACTGGCTTCTGACCTGTGAATCTCGCAAAGGTCAGGGTTTCTTCTGCCCTGCAACCTTCGGGGCAACGTCTTGCCAGGTCCTTTTGGACGCCGACGACAAAGCGCGGGCCCGTTTTGTGGTCTTCGTGCCTCGGCTCTCGCTGGATGCATCGGGGCTTTGCGCGACCCATGGATCCATTCGGTAATGAACAACCGGTTTACACGAAACGCTCTGGATCTCTTTCTTTCGCTTTTGTTCACAACAGGTCTCGTGCATGAAGGGTTCAGGTGTTGTGATTCACATAGATGCCTCGAGAAAAGTTGGAAGTTGAAAGCCAAGCGGAGGAGCGGAAAGATCTGGGAACTTGTGTTTGCTAAGTAAGACTGACTCCTTCCGCTTCAGCATGTGCAAGCTGGCATATTGTTGCGGTGGCGCCTTTTGACATTCACATTTTTTAAAGGTTGTGCACAAATGCAGTTAAGTCACACTGCCTGGGATGCAGGCCACTCCAACATCTAATGGTATTAGCATGTGGAAAACAGACTGCTAGACACGCTTCTCACACTCAGAGACATCCGATTTGCGGGAAGTTGGGGGGTCTTTAGTGGCACTGGTTTCTGGTGTTGCCCTGGCCCACCAACAACTGAAAGGGAGGACCCCTGAAAAGGTTTGTTTCTGAAGAAAGCAACTGCCCACCAACAACTGAAAGGGAGGACCCCTGAAAGGTTTGTTTCTCAAAAAAGCGACTGCCCACCAACAACTGAAAGGGAGGACCCCTGAAAAGGTTTGTTTCTAAAAAAAAAAAACTGCCCACCAACAACTGAAAGAGAGGACCCCTGAAAAGGTTTGTTTCTTAGAAAAGCAACTGCCCACCGACAATTGAAAGGGAGGACCCCTGAAAAGGTTTGTTTCTGAAAAAAACAACTGCCCACCAACAACTGAAAGGGAGGACCCCTGAAAGGGTTTGTTTCTGCAAAAAGCAAAGGCCCATCAACAACTGAAAGGGAGGACCCCTGAAGAAGTTTGTTTTGTGGAAAAAGCAACTGCCCACCAACAACTGAAAGGGAGGACCCTGAAAAGGTTTGTTTCTGAAAAAGGAACTGCCCACCAACAACTGAAAGGGAGGACTAAACAGGTTCCCTGAAAAAAGCAACTGCACACCAACAACTGAAAGGGAGGACCCCTGAAAAGGTTTGTTTCTGAAAAAACAACTGCCCACAAACAACTGAAAGGGAGGGCCCCTGTAAAGCAGCTGCCCACCAACAACTGAAAGGGAGGACTAAAAAGGTTGGCCCCTGAAAAAAGCAAAGGCCCACCAACAACCGAAAGGGAGGACTAAAAAGGTTGGCCACCAACAACTGAAAGGGAGGACTAAAAAGGTTGGCCCCTGAAAAAGCAAAGGCCCACCAACAACCGAAAGGGAGGACCAAAAAGGTTGGCCCCTGAAAAAAGGAAAGGCCCACCAACAACTGAAAGGGAGGACTAAAAAGGTTGGCCCCTGAAAAAAGCAAAGGCCCACCAACAACCGAAAGGGAGGACTAAAAAGGTTGGCCCCTGAAAAAAGCAAAGGCCCACCAACAACGGAAAGGGAGGACTAAAAAGGTTGGCCCCTGAAAAAAGCAAAGGCCCACCAACAACCGAAAGGGAGGACTAAAAAGGTTGGCCCCTGAAAAAAGCAAAGGCCCACCAACAACCGAAAGGGAGGACTAAAAAGGTTGGCCCCTGAAAAAAGGAAAGGCCCACCAACTGAAAGGGAGGACTAAAAAGGTTGGCCCCTGAAAAAAGCAAAGGCCCACCAACAACCGAAAGGGAGGACTAAAAAGGTTGGCCCCTGAAAAAAGCAAAGGCCCACCAACAACCGAAAGGGAGGACTAAGGTTGGCCACCAACAACTGAAAGGGAGGACTAAAAAGGTTGGCCCCTGAAAAAGCAAAGGCCCACCAACAACCGAAAGGGAGGACCAAAAAGGTTGGCCCCTGAAAAAAGGAAAGGCCCACCAACAACTGAAAGGGAGGACTAAAAAGGTTGGCCCCTGAAAAAAGCAAAGGCCCACCAACAACCGAAAGGGAGGACTAAAAAGGTTGGCCCCTGAAAAAAGCAAAGGCCCACCAACAACCGAAAGGGAGGACTAAAAAGGTTGGCCCCTGAAAAAAGCAAAGGCCCACCAACAACCGAAAGGGAGGACTAAAAAGGTTGGCCCCTGAGAAAAGCAAAGGCCCACCAACAACCGAAAGGGAGGACTAAAAAGGTTGGCCCCTGAAAAAAGTAAAGGCCCACCAACAACCGAAAGGGAGGACTAAAAAGGTTGGCCCCTGAAAAAAGCAAAGGCCCACCAACAACCGAAAGGGAGGACTAAAAAGGTTGGCCCCTGAAAAAAGCAAAGGCCCACCAACAACTGAAAGGGAGGACTAAAAAGGTTGGCCCCTGAAAAAAGCAAAGGCCCACCAACAACTGAAAGGGAGGACTAACAAGGTTGGCCCCTGAAAAAAGCAAAGGCCCACCAACAACTGAAAGGTTGGCCCCTGAAAAACCAACACCTTCAGGTCGGGGTCTTCTTGTGTGGGCCATTGGCCCTGGCGCGGCACGTGAGCTTCATGCGGCATTTGGCGGCCTGCAGCATGGTCGCGTTGTTGTTCCTGGTGGTTTCGGTGGCCTGGTTTGCGGGCACGCGCGGCGTGGCGGAGAGCGTGACCAAGGTGGGGGGAAGTCGGAAAGGGGCTTTCTTTTGCAGGGCTCCTTAAAAGATCTCCCTTTTGCAACCATTAAAACCATGTTGCTTTTTCAACACCAAAATGAAGGGAAACCAGCATTTACAAGGCAATGTTCAGGTGTATAATGTAAGGATCCCTGTTTTGCAGGGGGGGTTACCTTCCACGGCAAGATTTCAATAACTGGTATGGAAAGCTGTTGTGAAGCGTGGTTGGTGCACCCCCTCTTTCTCTTGGGCCTGAGCGGAAACTCAGGATGTCTTTGGCCGGAATGGATTTTTCAGTGAATTGAAGGGACAACCATCGTTGCTTTGCTATTTCTTTGCATGACCGGACCCTGAACCGGAATCGAGCAGACACGGAGTCAGTTTGAGTTCTCCAAACTAACGTGCTGTGAAGCAGCACATTTGACAGAAGCTGTGACAAGGCTGCTGCTTCTGACCGTACAGAGGCGGGCAGTACCATCAAACTTCGACCGCCTTGCCCAATCTTTTAGTGCCCTCGACGGTGTGAGTTTTTTCTCCTACAGTTGCGTTTCGTGTCCAGGAGAACTTTCTGGAAGGTGTGGAGAATGCCACAGTCTTCACCCGCGTGAACTCCCTGAACACCGTGGTCTTCGCCTACACCAACCAGTTCAACGCCCCGCAGCTGCTGGGGGAGATCTCGGAGCCCAAAGAGCTCAACATGGCCGCTGCGGCCAGGTGGAGCTCCCTGCTGAGCTTGGTGCTTTATAGCATGGCCTCTGTCTTAGGCCGGGGTTCCGTTTTTTGACTAAGTCGACTTGAACCCAGGGGTGGTTGAATTCCTCAAAAGGCAAACCCCTGGGATTAAGTCTACCTTGGGGTAGTCAAAAACCGGAACCCTGTTTGGCATGCCAAACGCCCTGGGGTTCAGTTACCACCATTAAAACAATGGGGGTTCAAATATAGCTGTGGCTGAAACACTGGTACCCAAGATTTGGCCCCTTGGTAAATGGGGAAGAAAAGCCAAGACCTGGGTAACCCTGACTCTTTCATTTTGAGCCGGCATTTTTTTCCCCGAGGTTTGGTCCCCATGTTTTTTCTAAGCCAACAGGAAGCCACCTCTTTTTGAAGGTCCAGGCCCCTATGTTCAGACAAGGTCCGAAAGCGGCAAAACAAGGAAACAAACGAACACAAGCACAAGCGCACACAGAAACAAACAC